TATATAAATAAGTTGTGTTATTACTAATAATTGTGATTGTCACATAAGGAGTTGGAGGAGAGAGCTTCTCGCCACAGCATGTACCAAGAGAAATCAAGCTGAGTTCAGGGGAACAAGAGAAATGTGTTTGGACAGTTGGCCGTGAGGGACAGGTTGACACAGGCTCTATGCAGGCAGTTGGCAGCAGGCAGGACGCCTTCATAGGCCGCACCCAGTAGGGTGGTCTGAAGGGTTTTGGGGATGTGGATGTTCCATGTTGAAGTGGGGAAACTCAGGTGCCCACCTTATATCTTTGGCTTAGTAATTCCATCTCTGGAAGGTGGGCAGTGCAGACAGAAATGCAGCTGCCTGGGTGTTTGGTCACAGTGCACAGTAGTTAAACGCTCCCACTCCCGTGTCAGCCAGCTCTGCCCTCTGTTCAGCCATGTGTCCCCCATCAAGTCAGTCACTCAATCTGTGCCTCTGTGCCTCATCTATAAAGCGACGATATCTTTTCAGAACATTGCTGGGAAATCTCCCAGGGATGCTGTAGCTGCACACTCAGCGCTCGACAAATCTCTGGCTGTTAATACTGGTGATGTCAGGAACAGCAAAGCATAATGCTAGTGCTGATGCTAATAATTACAGAGAAAGGTCACTATGGTATGGTGGACTCAAAGTGTGGAACATTATGCACTCGTTAAAAACTCCATTTTTGAACAATAGAATGGCAAATGCTGAAGTTATTGTGTTAAAACAAGATTCAAAACTACACCCAGGAGGATTCCAGTTAGGCAGGAATACTAATGTCGACAGGCACAATCTCATAGGAGTGTTCACAGTGGCGCCCCAAGTGGCAGGATTGTGAATAACATATTCATTTGGCTTTTCTATATTTCTCAGCTAGAAATACAGAAATATTTCTCACAATATTTACTCTTATTATTTAAAACAACCCATGCAAGTTATTTAAAACAAAGAAGAAAAAACCTTCCAGGCCCTCCTAGGAAGCAATTCTGTAAGCTTCTCCTCTGCCTCCCAATCTGGGAGGAGCCCCTCAGTGATTGTTGGGGGGCAGAGGAGGTCCTTCCAAGGTGGAGGGAGAGGAGGAGGGGCTCACAGAATTCTAGGTGGTCCCCACCTAGACACAGCAAATATCAGGGGAAACTGGGGTGGGGGAGGTTGAATCTGGGGGGATTTGACCAAGTTCAAACTCTTTCCAGGCCTGTGACAATGTATTCACTGCCATCAAACAAAAAACGCAAGAAGCAAGTGGAAATTTCCTCAGTATGGTCTCTGCCCAGAGGCCTTCCCTGTGATGAGGGAAAGGCCTGCCCTAAAGCTGGGGAGGGGATCATGAACAGCAGAAAACCCCAAACAGCCATGGGCACTCCAAAAGGAATTATGCTCCTTTGGAAGAAATAAATGATGTTTGGGGCCTGGGGCCAGCCAGAAGATTAACTGTACTTGAATCTGGCAGATATTGAATTGAATCTGGCAGATATTGAATTGAATCTGGCCTCTGTGGCCTGGAAAGCCCTCACAGGCAGGCGAGACTGGCAAGGGGGTTTGGGGTACAGCGGACACTTGTGTATTAAGCACCTGCTCTTTAGCCGGGTTCTGCACACATACTCTGTACACATTGCTGTTCTGTGCCAGGCAGGGCCCAGCTTCCCCCTGTGTGGCAGGAAAACAGGCTCAGAGAGGTGACATGAGGTGACCAGTCCCACGTTAGTAAGGCAGAGGCCTCATTGCAGTCCTGCTGACTATGGTCCAGTCCCCTTGCACCTGTGCGCCCCGAGGGAAGGCGTGGGGATAGAGGGTGGAGACGGGGCAGCCAAGGGCATGTTGCTGAGTCCTGAGCCCAGCAAGGAGGGAAATTTGGTTCCGTGAGTGGAGGGCGTCATTGGAATCCAGGACTCAGTGGTTCCCCTCTCACTTTTTGGGTTGAGTCTGGACCCAGGGGCGGGAGGTCCCTAAAGCACAGCCTGAAGGCCCCAGGTGACAGGCGAGGACAAGTAGGGACAGGAGGGTGCTGACCCTCAGCCCAGCGGCCGCCAAGGCCCTATGGCAGGCATCTCCTCTTCCACAAGCTTCGCAAGCCCACATGGAACCAGATTTTTCTCGGCCACCCGAGTGTCCCTCCAGAGTGGGGGCACCTCCTCCAGCCAGCTTTCCCCCGCACTCCACACTCCATCACCTGGCCTCCAAGCGGACACTGTCCACCAGAGCAATTGGGGGACATTGAGGCAGAGGTGCCCCTTTAGGGGGCAAGAAGGGGAAAAGATGGGAGAGGCAGACACTGAAATCAGGAAGACAAGATGGCGGGAAGCTTAAGGCTGAGGCAGGCAGGAGCGGTCCTGCCACCAGCCTCATCTCCTCCACCGCAGCCATTCCCAATCCAGCCTGTCTTCTCTTGGCAGCCTTTTATTTATTTATTTTTATTCTCCTGCTGACTTTTTCTACAGAAGAAAATGATCTCCAATGGGGCATGTTGTGAGCAGGGGATGGCTGGGAGCGACATGGAGTCCCAGAGGATGAGGTCTCGGCCAGTTCTGCTCAGCCAGGTCTGCTGGACCAGATGGCTCCCTACTATCCTGCCCCTCAGCCCCTCAGCCCCCCGGGCACTCCTCGGGCGCTCAGTAATCTTTGCGGAGAGCGAAGCAGTTTCCTGTACTTCGGCCATTACACACCGCAGGCGCTTGTGGCTGAGTCTGGCCGGATCATCTAGTCTCTGGACCTCCAACCCCAGTCAGAACCCCAGGATGATAAGTGGGGGCCCTTCTGCAGAGCCTTTGCCACTAGATATTCTGATAGCTGGGAACCCACTTGTGCCGTTTTTTTTAAGGGGTCCATCTTTTTCTTTTAGTATTACTTTTGTTTGTTTACTTTGGGGGTGGGTAGTACAGAAATGCAGTTCAAAAGTCAAGGTACAAAAGGGTATTCAGTAAATCCCTCCTCCTCCTGTCCCTCCAGCCCCCAAAGAGTTCCCAGTCACTGGATAGGAGGGTGGCACCCAGTTCCCACCCTCCCCAGAGAAGCTGGCTCCTGAGACCAGAGTGGGGGCATTGAAGTCCCCCTTGGCGTTTGGGTCTCATAGTGGAAGCCAATCTTTATACTCAGGCTTAGGGCGGCACTGGGTACCCCACCCACAGTATGGACGGCCCCTGTGTCCATGGGGTGCTCCCCATAGAATCCCTAGAGGCTGCCCCCCACCAGAGAGCTCCTTTAAAGATGGGGCTACCGGGCCCTCCCTGGTGGCGCGGCGGGTTAAAGCACAGCACTGAGAATCTAAAAGCTGCTTCCACATGAGTTCAATCCCAGCCTGCCACATGGTGTGGCAGACCTCTCCCACCCGCTGCTCTCCTCAGCAGTGTACTTCATCTATCTGCCTGTTCTGCTCCCCATTCTGTCTCTGGTGAAGCCTCTCACCGCCCCTGAGCCTCGCCTGTACCCCAGTTCTGTGTGCACAAATAAATAAATTAAAAAAAAATAAAAGATGGAGCTACCAAGGTGTCACTGGTTCACATGCCTCTGAGGCAACTGTGACTTCACTTGTGCCCCCGTCAGCCATCGCAGGCTCTGCCCTTGTGGGGGAAGCATGCCCTCCCCCCAGGACCAGTTGGGGTGCGGTGATGCAGACCTACCTCCTCACCCTCCTCGATGTGGTAGTCCTTCCTGGTGTTGGGGCCCCCGACAAACATGACTTTGAGCTGCTCCTGGTGCCTGCAGTGGGTGAGTGGGGAGAGATTCTGAGCCAGCTCCTTGGAGTGAGGCCTGGAGGGGCCCAGCAACCTATGGGGTCTGCGGGGAGTCTACACACGTGGGAGAGGTCACAGAGCTGTTTCTGCATGTCCCGCCCCTCCACTCTCGTCCCGTCTGCCCCTGCTCGGGCAGCTCTGTGTCTTTCTCTCTCCGTGTCCCAATGCTTTTGCGTGAGTGTCTCCCATGTCCTCTGACCCAGCAGGGGACAGTGTGATGGTGGACCTAAGTCTTCATCAACCGGGATCCCCGATCTAAGGTCTTCCCCTAAAGGACAGGCAAGTAGAGGCCTCACTTCCTTGGGATGGGGATGTATGAGGGTAAATGACCTGTATCTACCCGCCCCCCCCATCCTCCAGAGCTATCTGATTATGACTTGCTCTCCCCCCACAATTACTGCTTAGAACTGTGCCTACTTGGGGAAGAAAGCGGAGGGGAATGTTGGGTGCTGAGACAGACCCCAAGATTGGAGACTGAATGTGGTGGTGTGGAATGGCCTTGCGGGGTGATGGCAAGAAGACTGGTTCAGGAGGGGGGACCAGTCCCCCAGGCTGCCAGAAATCTGCCAGGGAGTTTGATCTTGGTGTGGGGATGCCAGGGAGCCCAAAAAACTTTTGGGTTTTTAAAAATCAGCTTTACTGAACAAAACAAACCCTGAGACTCTGACACCAGAGTGGTGGTTACCAGTGGGAAAGGTAGGCGGGAACAGTTGGAGGGGCTGATTGGATGGTGTGGATGGTGTCGGGACATTTGGTGGTGGCTGCGGTGTGCTAGATATGCAGTTGCTGAGGTGAGAAATGTATAGCTGAAATCTATATAGTCTTGTAAACTAAATTACCTCATTAAAAAAAATGGTGGGGCCCTCCCTGATGGCACAGTGGGTTAAAGCACAGCACTAAGAAGCTAAAGCCACTTCCGCATGTGTTCGATTCCCGCCTGCCCTGGAGGTGACCACATGGTGTGGCAGACCTCCTGACCCGCCCGCTGCTCCCCTCAGCAGTGTACTTCATTGATCTGCCTGTTCTGCTCCCAACTCTGTCCCTGGTGATGCCTCTCACCCTCCGCATCTCTGGCCTGTACCCCAGTTCTGTATGCATAAATAAATAAATCTTTTTAAAAAATAATAAACAAACAAACAAATAAATAAATCTTAAAAAAAAAAAAAGAATAAAAGGCTGTGGTTGGAAAAAAAAACACCACAACCTACTTTTAGGTACAAATGGAAAATTCTTGAAAGAGTCCACTCAAGAACTAGTTCAACCCATCAGTTGAAGTGTGTAAGCCAGATTATCACCCTCTTCTGAGTCAAAGCTTCTAGTAGGTTCTCATCTCGCTGGCGACATAACAGACTGTTGTTCTCTTTAAATTCACATATTGAAGTCCTAATTCCCAGTACCTCAAAGCTTAATTTGGAAATAGGGTCACTGCAGATGTAATTGGTTAAGCCAGGCTGAGGTCACATGGGGGTGGGGGGACCCTTGTCTAATGGCTGGTGGCTTTATTAAAGGTGATGGGCATGTGGACACAGACAGCTCACAGGAGACTGTCACCGAGGACGATGCTAGAGATGGGGCTAATGGAACAAAAGCCAAGGAAAGCAAAGATTGACACCAAGCCACCGCAGGTGGGGAGAGGCATGAGGCAGGTTCTCCCCCAAAACCCTAGAAGAGTAGGATAAATACACAGCACCACTCTGCCCATGGACCTCGTGTCTGCCTGCTCCTCTTTGCTCTCATTTCTTGCTGCCTTCTCCTAAACCACCCCGGAATGTCAGTTCCAGGAGGAAGGGACGCTATCCTTGCTGCATCTCCAGGACAATACCAGCACGTAGTAGGTGCTCAACGAACATTTACCGAACAAACAGAGGAAGGGCCTGTGTCTGTGATCACTAACAGTGCGGCAGTGCTGGGGGGCAAGTTGGGGGGCCTGGATGCCCGGCAGCCTCAACGGCCAGGGTTGGAGCAGAGCAAGGGAATATGATGCCCTAGTGGGAGAAACCCCAGGGCTGAGAATGAGACTGTGCACAGGGCCGAAGTGGAGGAAAGAGGCAAAGACAGAGCTGTGAGAGGAGGGTGACCATGGTAGATGCCGCTTTTGGGGTGTCCATAACTGTCAGCCATGGAGTGTTACCTGGTGGCCAAGAGTGTGGACTTTGGAGTCTGTTCCATGAGTTGAGTCTGGACACTGTGACAGTGTGAAAGTTACTTATTAAAATTGCGGGGTTACTGTGAGAAGCAAAGGGGTCATGGAGGACACCTGGCATAGGCTCCGGCTTGTGGTCTGAGGTAACGTGTTACCCTCCTGGAGATGTTCTGGGGCACAGCGAATGTGGGAATTGTGAGTCTGGAGTTGGGGGCAAAACAGGTGGGCCATGAGTTGGAGGAGGCAGGGAGAATGGTAAAGACACCCCAGAGGCCTGAGAAGTCTGGCTGAAGATTGCAGAGCCTAAGACCGCAGGGTTGGGCACTGCTGACAGAGGTGGCCGGGAAAGGCCTATGGGAGTGTGTGTGGCCTCCCGCAAAGAGGGGAACTAGAAGAGCAATAGATCTGTGCTCCCATGGAAGCTGATGTTCTGACTTTGCCCTGAGCCCAGATTCCTGGACGGAATTAGGATGTAGGATTGGGCTGTTCCAGACCTGGGTTCTACCTCCCCAAATCTCTGAGTCACTGGGGGGGGGGGCAGAGGAGATGTCTGTTTCTTCCCCTGAGAGGTGGGCATTAGGACAAATGAATAATGAGGGCTATCACATTTAGGGTCATTGCCAGAAATAACCTCCCCCTTTTGTTTTTAATTAGGAGAAACCTACCTTATGGCAGTGCAAGCATCCAGGGGCAAGGTTTTGTCATGTAAGTCATCCCCACCTCATCACATGAGTCCTCCTTCTAGGCCCTGTCCTATTCCTTGACCCAAAATATAAGCCCTCAGTTTGTCCCATTATTTCTAGAATGCAACCATGTAAATTTTCCAGGCCTGTGTAATTCAGTTTGGTCGCTTTCCATCTTATCTACCAGATGTTCATTTGCTTGCTCATTAGCCCAAAAAGAACTCAAGAGCAGTAGGGGAATTTTCTCCTGCATCCGAAATCGCTGAGAGCTACCACCTGTATCTCTATAGCCTCAGAGTCACTCAACCATCCTTAGAGGTCAAAGTCACTGTCTCTGCTGCAGTCACCAGAAAGAGGAACAGACCAGGGTTCCTCTTTCAGGAAGAGGACAGAAGAGAAAGAGGGCAGCAAAAGTCCGCTGAAGGCACATTGAAGATGACAGCCCCCTTAAGGAACTCTGAGGTTGCGGGGTGAGGGGCGCAGATGGAAGAGGAGGAGGAGAGGACAGAGGCAGGAGGATGGGCTGTGCCTGGGACTCACAGGAGCTTGTTGCACACCGGGGGCAGGAAGAAGGCCCGGTTCTCCTCCACCCATTTCTTCACTCTCACCGGCCGCTCCATGGCACCTGCTGAGCGACGCTCTCAGAGCGGCTGCTCCCCGCGGTCTGGGGGCGCGCGGCTCCGCCCAGCAGCTTACTGGCCTTCTGGTTAATCAGCATCCCCGGGGCCAAAGGGCGGAGCAACCCCCCTGACCCTGGGCTGCCGGGGATGGGGACCCGCGCGCCCGTGGCCTCTTTCGGACTTTGATCAGGAGCCCGGCCGCCCTGGGCCAGCGTTTGCCCACCTTTGGCCCCTCAGCCAGGCTTCCTCTCACATACCACCTCCCACCCCCAACCCCCACCCCCATGCTGGGGCGCCCAAGCGGGAGCTGGGAGCCAGGAGGCGCGGGATCCAGAGCCTTCGAATTTCTAGTCTGGAAGGGGCTTCTGCCGGGGCCCCGGGGAGGCCAAAAAGGAATCCTGTAGTGGGAAACCAGATTTGGGCTTCTGAGCACCAGAGGGCTGGCACAGGATTGACTCGGTTTCTCATCTGAAAAAAATGGAAATAACTGCACAGTGTTTCCAGGGTGGCCAGCGGCCACGACAGACCCCGATTCAGCGTCGTCCCCTGTCCTCGGAGGAGCTCGGGGGTTAGAGTGGCGAGATTTAAGGCGTGCCAGCTCTTGGCCCGTCTTTGGCTGCGTGAGGGAAGGGAGGGGAAAGGCTGCGGCGGACGCGGGGGAGCCCCCGGGCAGGACCAGGGGTGCGCGGGCCGGGCGGGGGCGGGGGGCGCGGCCCCCTCTCCTGCCCACGCTGGAGGCAGACACGGCGCCCTCCCGAGCGCCTTCCAGGTCTGAGCGACAGACTCGCGTCCCTTTTACTGGAGTCTGACGGAGAGAAATGAACAACCGGTGTCCCAGCTTTCAAAAATCTCACCCGTCGGAAGGGGAAGCGGGGGCCAACCGCGGGCTAAAGTTCTCCTCGCAGGCAAAGCCTCTACCAAATCCGGTTCTTCTCGGGCGCAGGGGAGGTGTGGTGCCTGGGTGTGGGCTGTGGATGGAGTAGGAGAAATGCTAGGGGGTGCAGAGGAGTGGGAAGGACAGCCAGACACTTGCTGTCTTCTTTCTTCTGGACTCAGAATTCTTAGGAAAACGCGCGCGTGTGTTGGAGGGTGACGTGGGGGAAGTGGTGGGTGGCGGAGAAGGAAAATAGCTCAGACTCTGAAACCAGAATCTCACTAGAGAGTTTAAGAAATTTTAAACTCCTCCAACTCCTGCCCTCACAGTCGGCCCCCTCCCCTGCTGCCTGGGATGGGCTGGTTTTCTCTACACCCTCAGACCCAGGGAAGCTCCAGTGCAAATTAAAACCCAGGCAGGAAAAAAGATTCCCACCTACCTCCTGCTGGGACCCTCCCTTTCCTCCTCCTATTTATTTTCAGTTATTTTGAATTTTTATAAACTAAACTAAAAAAAATAATAATAATTTCTTTGTAGAATGTGGCTTGGCACCAAAATAATTCAAAACCATATCCTTTATCTTTCTCTCTACAAGTAATCAGAAGGAACGTAAACAGAGACACGTGGAACATCAAGGGTCTATGCTCTGTTAGGTTTGGTTTGGATGTTTGTTAAATGGGTGGATGGGTGGGTGAGTGGGTGGATAGAGAAGTGAATAAATTCACACTGAAAGGAAAAACATGATTTCAAACCCAACAGATGTTCTGTTGCATAGTACAAGAAAGAATGATAGTTGCCCTGCATTTTAATCTTTGTAGTCAAACAATGTAAATAACTGAGATCACAAGTGGAAAGCTTCGAGTCTGAATTTTTTCAGATCAATCCTCAACACAGGTTAAATAACCTGCTGGAGTGTCACTCTCAAATATGCCCTTTGGCTTGAGCTGTGTAGATAAAGCACCAAAGTCCGTTCAGTTGGCAAACCGCCTAGCTTGTGTGTTGGGTACCATTTGATGGCAGTGTTCAGAAAACTGACAGTTCCCATTTGATCCAGATGTACATACAGCCTTGTTTAATCATAGACTGCTTCTAGGTAGTGACCAGTGGGATCCTTCCTGGACCCTTGCCTGCGTGCAGTATCCACGTCTGCCCTCTGCACACAGGAACCCATCTGGACCATGTAATGAGAAACAAAGAGCAGCTGACCTGGGATCAAAGGGCACCACAGCCCTCCTGCTTGCCTGCTGGGTCTAACTCTGGTCCCCACTGGCTGTCCAGTAGACACTTCTAGGCTTCGCTGAACCTGGCTGCTGCTGTCAGCTCATCCTTTCACCCCCAGATGAACAAATAGTGGCCCCAGCAGATCCTTTCCCCAGGCCACACTGGTCTGTATCTCTTCCCCTAATTCTCCTGCTTCTCAAGCTTTCATATAATTCCGCCAACTTTTTTTTTTTTAAAGATTTATTTGTTTATTCATACAGAACTGGGGTACAGGCCAGAGATGCGGAGGGTGAGAAGATTCACCAGGGACAGAGTGGGGAGCAGAACAGACAGATCGACGAAGTGCACTGCTGAGGGGAGCAGCGGGCGGGTCAGGAGAGGTCTGCCGTGCCATGTGGATCTCGGATCTCCTCCAGGGCAGGTGGGGATAGAACTCATGCGGAAGTGGCTTAAGCTTCTTAGTGCTGTGCTTTAACCTGCTGCGCCACCAGGGAGGGCCAATTCCGCCAACTTAGAAACAAGTGACTGTATATGAATAAAAGGACTAATCATCAACAGTACTGGTTATTTGGAAATCTGGATCTGACTCTTCTAGGTCTTTAACTTGAGTTATTTACGAGTCTGTTAAAATAACTTTAGACATATGGCTGCTTTTGGTTTTGTTTGGTTAACACCTTGATCTGTCTTTTGTTTCAAATGTTACTGCATTGTGGTATGGGAGGATGGCCCATGTATTTGGTGATCATGGTATCTCCCCTGCCAAGGTAAGTACTGGCCCATGTATTTGGGCAGGGGGATATGTTAAGATTTCCTTTGCAGCTTAACCTATGGCAGATTGTTGTGAATGTATAGTCTTGCTTAATATAATTTTAAATGACTCTAGTAGACAAATTTGTGTCGCTCATTTTTTTCTTATGTAAGCAACTTAATTCTTTAGTTTCTGGGAGATATACCTTAAAATTTCCACTGTAATATTTGGTTAGTTTCTCATTATACTTGAGCAGATTTTTCTTTTCCTGTTTTGAATCTATGTTGTTAGATGTAAAAAGGTTTGGGGCTATTTTACCTTGTTGTAGCATTTTTTTTTTTATCACTACAGCATCATTGTTTTCCTTTTTACCCTGACTTCAACTTAGTCTGATATTAATATTGCCACATCTGCTCCTGTGTGCTTATTTTCTAGGTAGGATTAATTGACTGAAAATTGCCACAATAACTTCTTCCCTTCTCTTACCCATATCCTTTGCAATCTGATTCTGCCACTTCTCCACCGAATGTGGGATCTGGTTCACCTGATGACTCCAGGCTGGCATTGTGCTTACTTTGAATCCAGACACACCTTGGAGCTGTTGTGTGTTCAGCTCCAGACCACTGCAGTAAAGCAAGTAACTCAGTAAAGTGAGAGTCTCATGAGCGCTTTGTTTCCCAGTGCATGTGAAAGTTATGCTTATACTATGCTATGGTTCATTAAGTGTGCAATAGCATTATTGTTTATTTTTTTCTTTTAAAGATTTATTTATTTATCCATACAAGAATTGGATACAGGCCAGAGGTGCAAGGGCATGGTGGTGTATGAGAGGATTCACCAGAGTGGGGAAGAGAACACAAGATGTACTGAAATACACTGCTGAGGGGAACAGCAGGTGAGACAGAAGAGGTGTGCTGTGCCATATGGGTCACCTTCTTGGCTGGGGATGGAACTCGTGCTGCAGTGGCTGGCAATAGCTCCATAGAGCTGTCTTTAAACCCTTGTGCCATGAGGGAGGCCCAGTAACACTATGTTTAAAAAACAATGTACATACCTTTATTAAATGTGATGCAAATACATAAGCAAGCACATCCTGTTAGGAAAATGGTCCCCGTAGTCTTGCTGGACTTTGCAGTATCTGTGGCATACATGAAAATGCAAGCATGATACAATGAGGTCCACCTGTACAGAGGGCATCAGAACTGATGTTGTGGGAGAACCAGACCCTCTGTAGCAGCTGAGCTCACCTTGTTATGCTGCTGTGACCATGTGCAGAAGCCAGGGCCAGCTTCCTTGCGGATGGGAGCCAAGTGGAGATGGGCACCACTGTGTAAGACCAGCTTTGAGCAGATGGCTCCAGGGGTGCCTCTAGAGGACTGCAGTCCCAAAGTGCTTGCAGCAGAGGCCAGGAGAGGGCCAGCCTGAGCAAGTGAAATGGCTCACTCGTATGTATGTGCAGATGCTGGGATATCTGGCCTGTTCACTCTTTAAAAAAAAAAAAAGGTTTATTTTTAAATGTTTTTCAAATAAATATATTTTATTTATACAAGAACTGGGGTACAGGCCAGAGGTGCAGGGGTGAGAGGATTCACCAGAATGAGTGAGGAGCAGAACAGGCGGATCTGCTGAAATACACTGCTGAGGAGAGCAGTGGGTGAGAAAGGAGCAGTAGCTTTCCCTGGCCAGGGATCAAACTCATGCAGTGGTGACTGGCAAAGCTTGAGACTTTAACCCCTGCACCACCGAGGACGCCCCTAGTCAAGCTTAAGATAATGCTTTAATTTCTAGGTAAGCAAAGGATGAGTAGATTATTCTAAAAGTGGTCCTCTTTGCCTGCAGGGTTTCTGCATTGTGTATACTAACTAGGTGCTTTGTGCCGGTTACTACATCACTGTCTCTCATTTCCAGATTCGTTTTCTCCAGTCTGCTAATTATGATGCAGGGCTGGGGTCCTGCAAACTCCATTCACGCTTTGTCGGTTGGTTCTGTTAGTTGTTCCTGTGAATGGAGGGAATAGAGGGCAATGACAAGGGTGTGGAGGAAGCAGGCCTTTGCTTCTTGATTGTTTCCTGTCTGTCCCCTGTTTGCTTGGGGTTCCTAGGCTCATCACCAAGGCTCTTCCCTTCGCAATTTCCAGGGCCAATTCATAGCTTCCCCTGTGCTTGTAGAAATAGCTTTCACATGACCCCGTCAGACATAATAGCACTGGAAGTTGGCACACCCTTTCA